ACTGTCATCCTCCCTGGCATGCTTGTTTACATATACAGCATCTACTTTTTATTTGCATTTTAATTTTATATATTGCATTCAAATGCAAGAATGAAAAGTTCCACAACCTGGCAATCTTCACTAACAGCTTATCTGCTGAAGTGCTGAGAACCACCTAACCCCATACTGCTTGATAATTAAGATAAAGCCTGTGAAGTCCTTATGTTTGTAAATGTTCTACAGTATGAGCATAATCACCAGAATACTTTTTACTATGAAAGATGCAAAAACTTAGTCATACAGAACACTTTAATTAAAGGCTAAACTTCTTACTTTTAGAAATAATAAAGCCTAACTCAGGAGTGTCAAACTCATTTAGCCCCGCAAGCCCCAAATATCCCTGAGATGCTCGGCAGGCTGGATCGGGACTGAGCCCCCTACGGAACTGTTGCAGCGCTGGTCTAACCTGCACGTGCAAGCAGCACACGCCACCCCCCTGGGCCAGCACAGGGTGCATTCTGCTACGATACATGGGCTAGACTAGGTTCTGGAGGCTCTGTGTCTGGCAGGGCTTTGCATGGATTGCGCACCCCCTGCCAGCTCCAAGCCCAGTGCAACACACATGGTAGGCTCATCCCCACACAGAGCATGAGCCAGCCCCACAGCCTATTGTGCATGCAGCCTCTGGGGCCAGTACTACAGGGCTGGAGCACAGATGGAATCTGTTGGCACTGAAGCAAGGGTAACCAGTAGGGGACAGGGAAAAGGAGACAAGAGGTGAGGGCAGGGGGGAGCAGGCACAAGAGTGGTAAGAGGGTGGGGGTAGAGACAGGGGGAAAGCTGCCTGCTCCCCCCCCCGCAACTGCTTTTCCTGCTGAAGTGATGGGGATAAATTTAAGATGATCCTCCAATAATTAGATTGTACATATGGAAAATTATGACAAATGTATCATACATCTAATTATTAAGTAATCTTAAATTCAGGATCATCTTGGATTTGGGTATATATGATATTAAAATGCTTCAATATATAGTAGCTTATTTTACTCAATGTTTATTACTACCATGCAGAAACCACTACAGACAGAAACATAAATTGATAGAAGGGGGGGTGTTGTATTTTTGTCAACATCTCTATGGAAATGCTATTTTGTAACTTCTTGGAACAATGCTCATTAGTGAATCACACATCCCTTTCCATAGAGACAGCCATTCTTCATAGTTTTATAGTTTCTAGGGTTGGAAGGGACCTGAGCAGATCATCTAGTCCGACCCCCTGCCATAGCAGGAAAGAGTACTGGGGTTAAACGACCCCAGCAAGGTGTTCATCTAACCTCCTCTTAAAAACCCCCAGGGTAGGAGCCTGCACTTCTCTTGGAAGTTGGTTCCAGACCCTAGCCGCCCTGACCGTGAAGTAACGCCTCCTGATATCTAACCTAAACCTACCCTTTGCCAGCTTATGACCGTTATTCCTGGTCACTCCTGGCGGAGCTCAGGGGAACAGTGACTCCCCCAATGCCTGCTAATCCCCCCTGACTAGTTTATAACAGGCCACAAGATCCCCCCTCAGCCTTCTCTTGTGGAGGCTGAACAGGTTCAGGTCCCGTAGCCT